GCACACACACTTTTTGCCCCACTCCCCTCAGGAAGGAGGTTAAGGAGCATTAAGTGTAGAACCACTAGACTGAGGAACAGCTTCTACCCTGAGGCTGTTAGACTCATGAATCTCTAACTAGAATAATCACTGTGAAAAACCATATCATGTTGCTGCTGATCTGTTTCATGTTGCTGCTGATCTGTTTCAATGTTGATGTGTTCATGCGTGCACATCTGCTCACAGACTCATGTTCATGTTTGTGCTGATGTTCAATGTTTTATGTTATGAGTGCTTAGTGTATATTTAGTTGATGTTTTTCTTAGTTCATATCTTAGATGTCATTACTGTTTTTCTTAGACATTTTATTGTTGGATGTAACTGGGACCCTGCGTACATAATTTCGCTCCACCACATGTACCACATGAGGTGCGAATGACAATAAAGAAACTCTGACTCTGACTCTGACTGACTTTCTGGTCATCAAGAGATTGAAATAATTAAATGTGTACCATGGTGCCCTCCTCTGGCTGAAAAATCTACAGCTAACATCAGAACATTAACTGAGGAATTTTATATTCAAATCAAACTTTTATAACTTTTTTTTGTTAGCAAAATTTGAACAGCAAAATAGTGTTACATGTAACCTAAAAATAGACCTATAATTCATTGACATAACGAGTGACCTTTGACCTTTGTAACAAAAAAAGAAGCTGCTGACATGAGCAAGCAACGACAGCGTGATGAGGTCTCCGAGGCTGGCAGCGATGGGCGTGGCCACGTTGTCTGGGTTGATGCCCACCTTTCTGGAGCCGATAATCACTGCCACCACCACCACGCCTGTAACAGAAATTAAAGATGCATGAAGCGTAGAACCTGCTGCACTTTGAGCACTTGAGTCACTCGTCACTCTTGGCTTGACCTAGAGAAATTGCAGCCATGAAGGCAGTGGTGACGCTACTGGCACACAGGACAGCCGCCTGGACGCCGTCCACTCTTCCTCTGGTCAGACAGCCGAGAGCCACAGCAGCAACAGCTGCCAGGAACCCCACAACTGTGGCCTGCAGCTGGAAACACATTCACACGACACTGAATGGAACGGAAAATAAAGTCCAGCCACTTTCAGTTCTAGGGTTCATTGTGTCAGGACATAAAAATGTTCTAGTCTATCAGGTTCTAAAATTATTCAGAACTTAAGTCAAGTCAACAGAAACACACCACAGATTGCATCATGTTTATATTTAATAAATAAAAATTTCAAAATGCATAATCTGCATGTGAAAACATAGATTTACCATCATTGAGTAGCTTGTAGATATTTGCTAATAACGCTCAGATATTGTTTGTTTACATGGCTGTGTTTGGAATCATGGTCCTGCTGAATCATGACACCTGACAGGTGTGAAGTGATGTTCATTCATTCAACCTTTATTTAGACAGGTTAATCCCACTGAGCCTCGGGGACTCATTTACAAGAAATACCTGATGTGCTGATATGCTGTGTTTGTTTTTCTCCATGCAGACGTTCAGTCTGAACCAGGGGTCTGTAACCTCCGGCTCTGGAGCCACATGTGGCTCTTTGGTCCCTCTGCAGCGGCTCTTTAAAGCTTTGAACAAAACTAACATAAAACTGAATTATATTAGTTGTTGTGCAACAACAACAAAAAGTACTAGTTTTTAGCTGTTTTCCTATCATTTCTTTTGCAAATACTCTTCAACGTTTTGCTTTATTTCTATACTTAACGTATTTTTCAGACTATAAGGCGCACCGGATTAGAAGGCGCAATATCAACGAACGGGTCTGTTTTCAGACATAAGATGCACCAGATTATAAGGCACATTAAATAAAACAAGGTCATTTTGACAGATTTTTTTGAGTGCCGTGTACCACATAAAATCAGTGCGATGTCAGTATAAGCACAACCAGAATTAATATAAGGTGCACCAGATTATAAGGTTCACTGTCGATTTTTGTGTGACGTTGCACGTTCGTGGTGAGACATATTGTGTCATTTCCTGTTTGTCTGTCGGTAGCTCGAGTGAATTGTTTGCTCGAGTCGTCTCTGTTTTCTGGATTTATCTGTCTTTTGCACAGTTTTTCATTCTAGTTCACAAACACACTTAGTATAGTTGTTTTTCTACTGTTGGATAGTGCTTAAAACACCTCTTATCTTTCAACACTTCTCGGTTTTTATTGGTGTATTTGGCTCTGCTAGCTCCTGCTAGCGTTAGCTTAGCATGGCTGCTGCTTCTCTCTCTCCCTGCTTCCTCTGTTTTCTCTTGTTCCGTGTGTCAGATGTTTAGTTACTCCTCTGCCTCCTTTAGTGGTAATGATACATGTAACAAATGTAGTCTTATGGTAGCTTTGGAGGAGAGGCTGTCTGAACTGGAAGCTCAGCTCCGTGCTGTAGAAAAACCAGTAGCTAGCCAGGTCCCCGTAGACAGCGCGGAACCACAGAGGCTAGCACCTGTTAGCGGTCCTCCAGCAGACCCCGAGCAGCTGGGACCCCAGGCCGGCTGGGTGACGGTCCGGAGAAAGCGTAGTGCTAAGGCTAAGCCCCCAGTTCACCACCGACCCGTTCACATTTCTAATCGATTTTCCTCTCTCAGTGACACACCCACTGAGAAGCAGACCCTGGTTATTGGCAGCTCCATAGTACGAAACGTGGCTTTAGGGACTCCAGCGGCCATAGTCAAATGCATTCTGGGGGCCAGAGCAGGCGACATAGAATCTTATCTGAAACTGCTGACTAAGGCTAAGGCTAAATACAGTAAGATTGTTATTCACGTCGGCGGTAATGACACCTGGTTACGCCAATCGGAGGTCACTAAAATTAATGTTGCTTCGGTGTGTGACTTTGCTAAAACCATGTTGGACTCCATAGTTTTCTCCAGCCCCCTCCCCAACCTGACCAGCGATGACATGTTTAGCCGTATGTTGTCGTTTAACCGCTGGGTGTCCAGGTGGTGTTCTGACAACGACGTGGGCTACATAGATAACTGGAGTTCTTTTTGGGGAAAACATGGTCTGATGCGGAGAGATGGCATCCATCCCACTTTGGACAGAGCCGCTCTTCTTTCTAGGAATATGGCTGATTTTGTTTATCCCCCAAATTATTGATAACCCAGCGCCCAGTCCAGGAAGCAGAGTTGTAGTCCTCCACACCTCTCTGCTGCTTCTCCTCTGTTACCCACCCACACCCCCATTGAAACAGTGTCAACTCGCCCACGGCTCATATTAAATAAACAAAAAATCAACTCTAAAAATATAAAAAAAATAAAAATCTGATTAAAATAAACAGTTACTTTACCAGAGCAAAATCATAAAATCATTAAATGTGGATTAATGAACATCAGATCTCTTTCCTATAAATCCCTGTTAGTTAATGAACTGATAACTGATCATCATATTGATTTATTCAGTCTGACAGAAACTTGGCTACAACAGGAGGATTTTGTTAGTATAAATGAATCCACTCCTGTTAATTATTTAAATTTTCATGTTCCTAGAACAACTGGCCGAGGTGGAGGAGTAGCTTCTATTTTTCAGTCAGGATTATTGATTAATGCCAAACCAGTTATTAGTTATGATTCTTTTGAATCGCTGTCCCTCAGTCTTCCTCATCCAAAATGGAAATCAGAAAAGCCACTTTTACTAGTTGTTATATATCGTCCACCAGGCGCTTACTCTCAGTTTTTGTCTGAATTATCAGAATTATTAACTGACTTATTATTAAATACTGATAAAATCATCATAATGGGTGATTTCAATATTCATGTGGATGTTGAGAGTGATAGTTTAAGCATAGCCTTTAATAATTTAATAGACTCATTTGGTTTTACCCAAAACGTCTGCACATCTACTCATTCTTATCATCACACTCTTGATTTAGTTCTGACCTATGGTATAGAGATTAAGGACTTTGTAATAGTTCCTCAAAATCCTATTCTGTCCGACCATTTTTTAATAACATTTCAGTTTACATTAAATGACTACACAGTCACTGAGAATAAATTTCATCTCAGCAGGTGCTTATCAGAAAATGCTGTAACCAAATTTAAACAATCTCTTCCATCAATGTTTTCCTCTGTCTTGCAGAGTAATGCATCAGAGAACAGTGACTTAGATAATCTAGTTGATCATCTTACAACTTCAATGCAAATTACTTCAATTTGGACTTGATAAAATTGCTCCACTGAAAAAGAAAGTAATCAATCAGAGGAAACTGGCTCCTTGGTTCAATTCTGAGTTACGTACTTTAAAGCAGGCATCTAGGAACCAGGAGAGAAAATGGCGCTCTACTAATGTTGAAGAATTTTATTTAACGTGGAAAGATAGTCTGCTAACATAAAAAAGCTCTCCGTAACGCTAGAACTTTATATTACTCATCTTTAATAGAGGAGAATAAAAATAACCCTAGGTTTCTGTTTAGTACTATTGCTAGACTAATTAAAAGTCGCATTTCTGTTGAACCATGTATCCCTACAACTATAAGTAGTGATGACTTCATGAGATTCTTTATAAATAAAATTATTTAAATTAGAGAGAAAATTCAAACCATCCTTCCTTCTACTATCTCTAGTCCCCTGTCAAATGAGGCAACTTTAAAAATTTCACTAGAGCCTGATTTATGTTTGGACAGTTTTTGTCCTGTTGAGCTCTCTGAATTGTCAAAAATAATAACCTCAACCATCCACATGTTTGACTGATTGATTGATTGATTGATTGATTTTATTGTCAATTCTGCATATGTACAGGACATACATAGAAATTGAAATTGCGTTACACTCCTACTCAAGTTGCAGCAAACAACAACATTAGCAAAAATAAACTAACACAACTAGTTATAAAAAATATAAAAGTGAACAGCAGCAGGACCCCTGATGCAACGTGCTCAATAGTGACTAACAGGAGACAAAGGGACGCTGACTGAAGACAATAACATGATGAGAGGTAGATAATGGATGTGCAAGGCCAGAGTAAACAATAGTGCAATATAAAGTATAAACCTGAGAAACTTAGTAAAGTGAAGGTGTGCATACCGGTTCTATATAGAGTCACAGTTATGTACTGATGAGGTGATTAAGTGGAAATGACAATACCAGAATTACCAGAATAAACAGGACGAGTTGATCATAACAGTAGTGCAAAATATAATGCAATAAACAGTAGAGTGAGCTTGTAGGCTGTTAAAGTGACCGAGTTCATAAACTATTCATAAAAAAATGTCTGCTAGATCCCATCCCAACCAGACTGTTTAAAGAGGTATTTCCCCTAATTAATGTCCACATTTTAGATCTACTTAATTTGTCTTTAATGGATGGTTATGTACCACAGCGCTTTAAGGTTGCTGTAATTAAACCTTTACTTAAGAAGTCTGATCTTGATTCAGAAATCCTGGCCAACTATAGACCTATTTCTAATCTAACTTTCATCTAAAAAATTCTAGAGAAAATAGTTGCAGGTCAGTTTCGTGAACATCTACAAAGAAATAATATGTTTTGAAGAGTTTCAGTCAGGGTTTAGAGCTCATCATAGCACAGAAACAGCACTAGTAAAAGTAACTAATGATATTCTCATGGCCTCAGACAATGGACTTGTGTCTATACTGGTCCTGTTAGACCTCAGTGCTGCATTTGATAAAGTTGATCACAATATTTTACTACAGAGGCTTGAATATGATATTGGGATTACAGGAACGGCTCTAAAATGGTTTAAATCATATCTATCTGATAGATTCCAGTTTGTAAATGTAAATAATAAATCTTCTTCATACACCAAAGTTAGTCATGAAGTTCCTCAGGGCTCAGTGCTTGGGCCAATACTCTTTACTTTATATATGCTTCTATTAGGTAAAGTTATTAAACAGCATGGGATAAATTTCCATTGTTATACTGATGACACACAATTGTATTTGTCCATTAAACCCAATGAATCCAATCAGCTACTTAGACTACAAGCATGTCTTAAAGACATAAAAACCTGGATGACCCTTAATTTTCTCCTGTTGAACATAGACAAAACTGAGGTTTTGGTTTTTGAACCCGAGCACCTTAGGAATGAATT